GGGTCCGGGGACCGTGCTCGGCAACTCCGAGCGTGGGGCACCGGGGGTCCGGGGACCGTGCTCGGCAACTCCGAGCGTGGGGCACCGGGGGTCCGGGGACCGTGCTCGGCAACTCCGAGCGTGGGGCACCGGGGGACCGGGGACCGTGCTCGGCAACTCCGAGCGTGGGGCACTGGGGGACCGGGGTCGGGGGGGATGCTGTATATATTTTGGGCACTGTTTAGTGACCTTGCTTGTGCCTGTGCCTGTTTGTGTTTGTCCTGGGACAGGTCAGGTGAGCCTCTCCGTGTTCTGGTTTGCCTTTGTGGCTGATACCTGTGTGGTGGGCTTCCTTTTCGTCTCGGCCTTTCTCCTGTTCCACTTGCAGCTGCTGTGGCGGGGACAGACCACGCGCGAGTGGAGCGCCGGCCGCTTCGGGCTGTACAATCTGGGTTGGCGTCGGAACGTTGAGGAGCTGCTGGGCGAGTGGTGGTACCTGACCTGGCTGTGCCCCCTCTTACCCTCCTCCATGCCTGGCGAAGGGGTCACCTTCAAGACCAGGGAGCTGGCCGCCCACAAACCCGCCAGTCTCTTCTGACCCCCTGTTGCACGTGGGCCCATCACCTTGGACGGTAAGAGAGGGTCGTGGGGAGTGGAGGAGTGGGGGGGTGGGGGGCGGGCACCAGGACAACAATAGGTCAAAGAGCTTCCAAGGTGCAGCAGAAAGTCTTAGAATTGAAGAATTTATACGCTTAATTGGTAATGTCCTGGGGAGTGTTGCTAAACAAAGAGACCTTGGGGCGCAGGTTCACAGTTCCTTGAAAGTGGAGTTGCAGGTAGACAGGGCGGTGAAGAAGGTGTTTCTGAAGAAGGGTCCCAACCCGAAACGTCAGCTTTCCTGCTCTTCTGATGCTGCCTGGCCTGCTGTGTTCCTCCAGCTCTAAACCTTGTTATCTCAGATTCTCCAGCATCCTACTATCTCTATAGTGAAGAAGGTGTATGGTACGCTCGCCTTTATTGGTCAGTGCATTGAGTATAGGGGTTGGGAGGGTCATGTTGTGGCTGTACAGGACATTGGACAGGGCCACTTTTGGAAAACTGCATTCAATTCTGGTCTCCCTGCTATAGGAAGGATGTTTTGAAACTTGAAAGGATTCAGAAAAGATTTACAAGGATGTTGGAGGGTTTGAGCTACAGGGAGAGGCTAAATGGTCTGGGGCTATTTTCCCTGGAGTGTCGGAGGCTGAGGGGTGACCTTATAGAGGTTTATAAAATCATGAGGGACATGGATAGGGTGAATAGACAAGGTCTTTTTTCCCCCCAGGGGGTAGGGGGAGTCCAAAACTAGAAGGGCATAGGTTTAAGGTGAGAGGGGAAAGATTTAAAAGAGACCTGAGGGGCAACTTTTTCATGCAGAGGGTGGTGCGTGTATGGAGCGAGCTGCCAGAGGAAATGGTGGAGGCTGGTACAATTACAACATTTAAAAGGCATCTGGATGGGTACATGAATAGGAAGGGTTTAGAGGGATAGGGGCCAAATGCTGGCAAAAGGGACGGGATTAATTTAGGATATCTGGGTCAGCATGGACGTGTTGGGCCAAAGGGTCTCTTTCTGTGCTGTATGACTCTATGACTATGACTATGACTGTAATGGTGTTTATGATGAAGGAAAACCCCCATATCCCCAGCTCATGGCCCCCACTCTTCACAGCCAATGAAAGTCATTTCTTGTGAGCGCTCCCTGTTGGATTGTGGGGAGAAAGCAGCAGCCAGTTGTCACACAGCAAGATCCCACTCATAGCAAGATGGTGATGACCCACATTATCTATTTCTAGTGATGTTAGTTGAGCGGTAAATATTGGCCTTATGGCCCTGGAGAGAACCTTTTACCCCCATTAGAAAGATGGCACCTCCGGCAGTGCGGCGCTCCCTCGGCGCTGACCCTCCGGCAGTGCGGCGCTCCCTCGGCGCTGACCCTCCGGCAGTGCGGCGCTCCCTCGGCGCTGACC